GTGAGTATTTGTTTTTCTTGGCAGTTCTAGGGTTTGAACGCAAGGCTTCATGCTTGCTCAGCAGGCACTCTACTACTTGAGCCACTGCTTCAGCCCTGTTTTATGTTGGGTATTTTGAGATAAGGTCTCACAAACTATTTGCCTGGGGCTGGCCTCAAACCTCAATCCTCCTGATCTCTGCCTCCTGAGTAGTTAGGATTACAGGCATGACCCACCAGTGCCTGTTCCCATTGTGGGCATTTTAACATGGATATTTTAGTCCTTAAATCTTAGACGGTGTTTTCTGTAGGCATGGGTGTACATATGTCTTAGTGCATCTATAGATTTTAATTGTCATCACATTTGAACTGAAGAAAGTAAGAGGTTCTGTGTCCTTCTGGTTGTTCTCTAACAGGATGTGAATACAGTTGTCCCTCAGTATCCTTGGGGATTTGTTTTCGGGCCCTTGCCCTAAACCAGAATATGAGGATGCTCTGGTCCCTTATATAAAGCACCTTAGTCTTTGCGTAGAACTACACACATATTCCCATATACTTCCAGTCATTTCTAGATGAATTATGACACCTAACACAATGCAAATGGTGTTTGGTTTAAGGGATACATCTACTCATGTTCTTAATAGTACAATTTTTTAAAAAAATTCTTTGGCCTGAAATGGTGGTACATACTTGTAATCCCAGCTACTTGAAAGACAAAGATTGGGAAGATTGCAGTCTGAGACCAGCCCGGGCCAAAAGCTAGCAAGATCCCATCTCAACAAACAAACCAGGCATGGTGGTAGATGCCTGTCACACCACCTATGCGGGAGGCATAGGTAGGAAGATCACAGTTCAAGGCCAGCCCTAGGCAAAAATGTGAGACTCTATTAGAAAAATAACTAATGCATAAAAAAGGAATGGGGAATGGCTCAAGTGGTAGAGCACCTGCCTAGCAAGTGCAAGGCCCTGAGTTCAAACCCCAGTACCGCCCAAAGAACAACAATAATAATAATAATAATAATAATAATAATAATAATAGTGGGAGACGGAGAAAAGTAAAGAACAGTTTTGATCCTCAGTTGGTTGGATCTGTGGATGTGGAGCCCACAGATAAGGAGGGCTGGCTGAACTCGTATGTGCAACCCGGTGTCAAGCCCCGGGAGACACAGCATACAGTAGAGATGGGTCCACCCCCAAGGATAGGCGCTATATGCTCACCTGCTGGTCCCCTCTGACACCATTTCCCTCCATCCTGGCAGTCAGGGCCTGGACATCCTTGACCACGGGTTACCACTCTTTAGTATGCTTCTGAGAGGACAACTGGGGACTGCTGTTTCTGGAAATTATGTCCAAAGAATTGCCAGGTTCCTTACATTCCCCCCTACAGCCCAGTCACCCTGTGTGAAGTCATTGAGGCTGCCCAGTGCTCCTGACCTGGCCTCTGGTTACCAGTGTTTTAGGAGACATCCAGCACCTCATTTTCTCCTGGGACCAGGTCTTTGGAATTGACCTGCCAGCTTCAGGATTTGGCATGGGGTAATTCCGGAGAATGTTCATACCCTACGGCTTCCTTTCCAGTGACAGTTTTCCTCACATGGGCCATGGTCTGTGGGCCATCCTATGGAAGTGCTGGGAACCTTTTGCCATTCTAATGCCATCCTAGTTACCAAGAGACAATCATCCGGGAGCCCCGTGTGGGCGATGGAGTCAGGGCTTCCTGTCAACGGTGAATTTTTGTGCAGTGGAGTCACGCGCTGGAAGCTTGTGTCTTGTCAGTAATCATACCCACACTCTGAGAGTCTGAACTGGATGAAATGGTGACCTGCGGCTCAGTTCTTCTGGGGATGACCACAGCGTGGTGGTGAGGACCATCTGTAAAGGCAGCTGCATAGCAAGATAGGCTTGGGACACCATTGTTAACAAGGTGCTTCTCTGGGCACTGTGGCCGACACAGGGGTAAAGGGCTATTAGTTTATGAGCTCCCCAGGAAGACAAGATTGAAGAAAGAGGAGTGCAGGGATGTGAGCTCAGAGCCTGGGCAAAGATCACCTGCCTGTCACCATGGCACCTTCTCCATCTTCAGTCCCTACCTCTGACCCCAAGTCCCATTAACCGTCACCACCTAAATGCCCACTGAGCCGCTCTCCTCCTTGCTCATCTTCACTGTTCTAATTTAATATCCCATTTCTTTTTTTTTCAGTTTGGTTAATTGTGGTAAAGTCAACATAATATAAAATTTACCATCTTACCATTTCCTGTTTTGGTGGTGCTCGTGAGTGAACTTAGGATCTCCTGCTTGCTAGGCAAGTACACTTTTAGTTTGGTTTCCAGATAGGGTCTTGTGCTTTGCCTGGGCCAGCCTTAGACTGAGATTCTCCTCCTTCTACCTACAGAGTAGCTGGGATTACAGGCAGGTAACACCACACCCAGTGCCCCCCATCTTCCCATCTTAACCTTTTCTTTTTTCTGTACTGGGGGCTGAACTCAGGGTTTACTACTTGCTAAGCAGGCACTCTACCACTTGAACCATACCTTCAGCCCTTTTGGCTCTGGCTCTTTTGGAGATATGGTCTCACTTTTTGCCCAAGCTGGCCTGGACCTCCATCCTCTTATTTTACACTTCTCACTATCACTGTAATGACAGGCACACGCCACCTGTTCTTATTGGTTGAGACAAGGTCTCATTCACTTTTTTTCTCCTGGCTGGCCTGGAACCACCATCCTCCTGATCTCAGTTTCCCACATAGCTTGGATGACAGGCATGCACCACCACACCCACCCCCATCATAACCATTTTTTAAATATGCAGGTTCTATTTCTTAACTGGGAACTACTTGAATAAGTTTATAAAAGTAAATAACTGTACTACAAACAAAAGGCACAAATGATATAAAGGTACAGCTCGTTTTTTAAATTTTTGCTGTATAAAATGGTTGAAATTCTTTTTTTTTCTTTTTTTATTGTTGTACTGGGGGTACATTGTGACATTTACAGCAGTTCTTACGATATAACCATAGTTGAATTCACCCCCTCCATCTTTCTCCTTCCCCCCCATTCCTGGAATGGTTTCAGCAGGTCTTATTCTTCCATTTTCATACATGAATACATATTTCCACCATATTTGCCTCCTACACCCTATCCTTATATCCTCCCCTCTCCTGCTGGTACCAACCCCCAGACAGGACCTGTGTTGCCTCCCTGTTCTCTGTTTAAAAGTACAGAGAACATTTGAGTAAACACTCAGCCTAAGAAATAGAAAGTGAGTCAAACTTGTATGCCCTCTCTACGCCTCTCCTGATGGAGCCCTTGGCGTCCTCTGGAGGATTACGATAGTGTTTTACCAGTCTGTCTTCCTCTGTTCTTCTGTTTCCCAAATCTCCATGCTGGGTGCAGAGAGGTTGGACGGAAAGAGAAATCCTACGTGTCATATACCTGGTGGACATTGCCCAGTGACTGTGTGGTGGTGGGGGGGCAGGCAGTGAAGTGCTGAGTCCTGGGCGCTAGGTCCAAGCCTTGTCCTCATTGCAGGGTCCCTGTGGCTCCATGATGCACATCCCGTAAACCGCAGTTACGTCGTTGTTCCTCGTCTCCCCTCTCTGCCTCTGAGCCTGTGAGGCTGGTGCTGTGTCGAGTTTCTCTGTGTTGCTCAGTCAAGACGGTTCCTGCAAATTCAGCCCCTTGGTGGCCACTGTTTGCTGTGGATTGAGGAGGACAGAGAGGTCAGGACAAACCTGTCGAGGAGGGAGACTGATGTGGTCTTCAATGATCTGTACATTCATTTTTTTTGTTGTAGTATAGAATTTTATTTCAAATCAATTATAAATTCATAGTAGTACTTTCACATGGTAAAATAAAACTTCAAACAGCATTTGAAAATGTGGACTAATACCAGCCTTAATTCCATATGGAATTCCACCTCTGTCCTCCCCCAAAATGTACTTTATTCATCATTTGCATCTTATTTTTAATTGACACCCCATAATTGCCTTAGTCTGAGGGTACAATCTGATGTCCCCATTGCTGTGTACCTTGCCATGGAGGGCAGATTCAGACTTGAAGCGTTAATGTCTCTCCTTATCTATCCTCATTATATCTTATTAATGAAAATTACTTCTCTCTCTCTCTCTCTCTCTCTCTCTGTTACTGGATTGAACTACTAGGGGCTGTGTGCTTGCTAGGAAGGTGCCCCACCACTTGAGTCATGTCCCCAACCCTTTTGCACTTTAGTTATTTTTCAAATAGGGCCTCCCATCTTTGCCTGAGGTTTAGCCCCAGGCCGTGATCCTTCTCTCTCTGCCTCCCACATAGCTGGGCTCACAGGCATGTGCCACCACAACTGGCTTATTTGTTAAAGTGGGATCTTGCTTACTTTTTGCCTGGGCTGGCTTTGAACCATGATCCTCTCGATCTCCTCCTCCTGATCTTCACCTGCAGAGTAGCTGGGATTATAGGCAAGATCCACAAGGTGTGGCCCTCTTTTGTTTTGATTTTCTTTTGAGAGAAACTACGCTGATCTTGTCTTGGTCACCTGGGAGGCCCCTAACAGAGTGAGTCTTGTAGAGGGTTCACAAATGAGCTTGTGAGTTCTGGTGCCTGAGGTGGGCATCCTGGTCACTCTCCTTGCTGCCTTTCCCTCTGCCTAGCTCCTGTCCTCCTTGGTACAGTAACACGTGAGGCAGCCAGGTGAGAATGTCAGATCCTTTGTGGTTTCTTTTCACTTTCGTTGTTCGTTTTGTGGTACTGGGGTTTAAACTCACTGCCTGTGCTTGCTAGACAAGGGCTGTACTGCTTGAGCCACACACCCAGCCCTTTTTGCTTCAGTTGTTTTTCAGGCAGGGTCTCGTACTTGTCTCGCCCTGGCTGGCCTTGGACTGCAATCCTCCTGTGCCTCCCCTGAGGTGATGGAGCGGGCAGTGTACCTCTCGGGCTGGCCACAGTCTGTGAAGTCCTGACTCTGTTCTTTCCCATGTCCCTTCCCACAGCGACCGCCTCCGGGTGACGATGGCTGCGTGAGCATCTGCCATGGCTCACCACAAGTGCCAGAGCACCGTGAGTGGCATGTTGGACCACAGGGCCAGGCCAGGCCCCATCCCCCACGGCCAGGAGCCTGAAAGCGAGGACTCAGAGCTGCCATCGGATGGCTACATGCCCAAAGGTCTGGAGCTGGCTGCCCTGAGGCCGGAGAGCCCCCCACCTGAGGAGCAGGAGTGTCACAACCATAGCCCTGACGGAGACTCCAGCTCTGACTATGTGAACAACACCTCTGAGGAGGAGGACTATGATGAGGGGCTCCCCGAGGAGGAGGAGGGCATCACCTACTACATCCGCTACTGCCCCGAGGATGACAGCTACCTGGAGGGCATGGACTGTAATGGGGAGGAATACGTGACCCATGGCCCTGTGGACACCGATGAGTGCCAGGAGGCGGTGGAGGAGTGGACAGACTCAGCAGGCCTGCACCCCCACGGCCATGGTGCCGAAGGCAGCCAGGACTACCCAGATGACCACCTGCCTATCCCAGAGGATGAGCCGTCCATCCTAGAGGCCCACGACCAGGAGGAAGACAGCCCCTACTGTCACAGCAAAGAGGGATACCAGGACTACTACCCCACAGAAGCCAATGGGAACGCAGGTGGCACCTCCCCCTACCGCCTGAGGCGCGGGGATGGGGACCTGGAGGACCAGGAGGAGGACATCGACCAGATTGTGGCTGAGATCAAGATGAGTTTGAGTATGGCTAGCATCACCAGCGCCAGTGAGGCCAGCCCAGAGCATGTGCCCGAGTCAGGGCCTGGGGACTCCACGGAGGCCTGCCCACCTGGCGAGGCCAGCCTAGGGCCCAGCCGTCATGAGGCAAGGCCCAAATCGCTGAACCTCCCTCCTGAGGCCAAGCACCCCGGAGACCCCCAGAGGGGCTTTAAGACCAAGACCAGAACCCCAGAGGATAGGCCAAAGTGGCCTCAAGAGCAGGTAGGTCTTGGCTGTCTCCAGGGAAGGGAGCAGAGGGGCCCAGAGAGCTGTGGTGCAGCCCCACTAGATGCTAGAGGGAGGCTGTGTGATGATGACCTGCAGGAGGGACCTGGCTGCCTTCTGGTTTAAAATGTGAGCTTAGTCCCTCATTTGCTTAGTTGCGTGGCATATTTCAGGGACATTCTGGCCACTCTGAAGCCCATCCCTCAGATCCAGGAGCTAATAGTAGAAGTCTTCCATTGAAAGATGATTGGAAGCCAATGTTCCTCTCCTCCCTGCTCAGGTCAGTTTTTAGCCCACTGCCCTGGATCTTCTTGTGGCAGAGGAGTATCCCTGTGACAATCTCCTGTCTCTCCAGGTGACTTCCTCGGGCTATCAGGGCATTGGCAAGGGGATGTGTGTGTTGGCGGGGAGCGGGAGAGAGTGTTATTGTTCACACACTGCGCTGCCTGAGTGCATTCCACAGTGGCCTTTGCATCAGAGTTACTTGTCTCCAAAACTCTTAGGCCTGATGGACCTTAGCAGTGGATACCTACTCTAATTTAAAAATAAATTTTTAAAGTTTGACAAAGTCTCAAAGAAGAAGTGCATGCTAGTGAGGGCAATGGGGAGGACCGTAAGTCCATTTTCTTTTAATTATAGCACAGGAAGCATTATTCTGATAAACATATTTGAAAAGCTGCCCTTCAAAGGGAAAAAGAAAGAAAAGAACAAACTCACCATGATGTGATGGTTGGATTTGTATAAAGGATCTTCGAATTTGGTCCATTCTGAAGACTGCTTTCATCATTTTTAAAGCCTTAATTATTTTTTTCCCAGAAGAGTTCATGAGTTTGAAATATGTGTACACACACACACACACACACACACACACACACACACAGTGAAAATATGTGTTTGTAATATACATCATTCTGACTCATGGTTAGATTTCTGGCACGTATTTTTCTTTCTAATGATTATTAAGCATGAGTTGACTTCTCTTTGGAGGTGTTCCTGCTACTCACAGCAATTCTCCATTCATAGGGGGTAGGATATAAAGAAACTGCCATTGTGCTAACGGATGTTGGGGAGCTCACCCCAACACCAAAAGGCAGGTGCTCTGTGCTCTGGGTCAAAGCACCGATGTCCTTACTCTTTCACGGAGCCTGGACTCATCCCCAACAATGGTGATGGCACCGCAGGGATTGATACAGGCTGCACCAGGGAGTGTGCCATATTGCTTTTTGTTGTTACAAAATTCTATCAAGAGAAAATTATCTTTAGAGCCTAGTGGGGAGTGAGAAAGACCTGGCGTTGTGTTCTTTTTTCTGCTTTGTGCTAGGCAGATGCTAATTTGAGTGAAATTCCACAGACCTTTGGGTTGAAGAGATGGGAGGCTGAATGAGTGGGTGTGAATGAATGAGTGAATGAAGTGGTGGTGGTGGCTGTTTGAAGGGCAGGTGGAGTAGGGGACATCCCAGGCCATCATTGTGATGGACAAGAAGGAAGTCTGCTCTTCAGAGAAGTGACATTGAGTGCAAAAGCAGGTGACTTTGGTCCCTAAGCAGAGTGTGTCCTCAAGGCAAATGTTATTTAAGACACTAGAAAAGCTCATTTAAGCTGGCTAATGATCGGATAGCTTTTTGTATTTGCCATTCATTCAATAATTCATTCATTCGTTCACTAATTCATCCATTCATTCATAAACTAATTCCAGCCAGGGGAGAGCCTAGCCATTCCCAGCTCAGGACTGACCAGGGTTTGATGAATGAAGGACTCTGATTGCTCCTTGGGAGGATGCTACAGGGTCTGGTGCTGGTAGACAGGCTCTTCATGTCCTGTAGGCTCAGCAGCCCATTTCATATGGCGAACTCTGAAATTGGACCGCAGTTAGCCACTGGTGGTAGACATCTCCCTGAAAGCAAGATTCTGTGTAAAGAACATGCACTGGGTAATTTGGTGGTGTCTTGTTTAATAAAATCACAGCTTCCTTTCCTGAGAAGAAATCTCTTACTTCCCAGGGGAAAGCCAAGCTGGGCCAGGAGCCAAGGGAAGCCTGGCTCACAAGAGGTGCTCTGGGTGCTACTGAGTCCCCAGCACACCTTCGTGACATCTGTACTTTTAGGATAGTGCTGCCTAGAGTAAAGGCTGTGGCAAGAGAGAGACTGAGGGAGAAGTGGGTGACATTGGCCACCTACATGCTTTAGATCATAGCTTTTAAAGTGTGGTTTGGGGTCCAGCAATGTGGGCATCACTAGGCTTTAACCCAGAACTGCTGAATCCTAATTTGCAATTCAAAGATGCCACATGCAAGTTGGAAAAGTGGTGTCGTTGGAGGAAAGACTTCCACAGTGTCCCTCTTCTCTTTTGTACTCATTTTAAAGCTTGAAAAAGTAAGTCATTGATACCATTAAGGTTATAGGTTGTGTATTCCTAATCTGAATATCTAAACTCTGAAATACCCTTAACGTCTGAAACTTTGCTGACATAATTCTACAAGTGGAAAATTCTGCACCTTACCTCCCAAGACAGGTATAGCCAAAACACAGATGTGCTGAAAATGTTGTGTAAAATTACTTCAGGCTGTGTGTATAAGGTGCACATGAAGCATAAATGGATTTTGCATTGAAACTTGGATTCTATTCCCAAAAAGTATTCCAAACTGAAAAAAAAATCCCAAATCCAAGACACTGTGGTCCCTAACCTTTTGTATAAGGGATATTCAGCCTGTATTGAATAGCTTTCATTTAGCCATTGTGTGACAATAAATACCACAGAGTTAGCAAAGAGAAGAGGAAAACTTCATTCCCACCACCCCACCACCCCAGCATATAGAGCTGTTTTCACTTTTCTGTGTCCTTTTCAGACTGTAATGCTGAACATGAATTGCACAGCTGTCGTTTGGCCCAGATGTAATTTTGTCATTGAGCTCTGTCTTAAAACATTTCTCCATGTTGCCATATAATTTCCATGATTATTTTTATTGACCTTTTAATGTTACATTTGGTCATGGGCCACACGTTGATTTGTCGGTGCAGATCCTGCAGTGACACACAGGGTGTAGAAGGCATTTTTGTCCTGAATATAAAGCTGGCAGAGACGTCTTTGCATGAAATGTTCTCTTTCTTTTGGTATCATACCTAAGGATAAATTCCTGTACTATACATCAGTGTTAACCACTGAAATGTCCCCATGGTTTCCTTGTCTGATGGTTTCTCTTCTGTGAATGTTTAATCCTTGACTTTTATGTTTTGGGGTTTTGATTTTTTTCCATTTCATATGCTTTTCACTGTAGGTGTTTTCCTTAGAATTTGCTCATATTATTTTCATCATCTCCATGGCATTTTTAAGACATGAATGACCAATCTGTCACCCTTCCACAGGGGGATTCATTTGCATGGTTCTTTCTTCCCAAACTGGGTGGTGAACTTACAGTGGGTACTATTTTAGTCTGACCCATATAGAAGATGAGTTCCTGTGTGCGACAGGAAGGTGACTGTGTGGCCTCTGGAACCCTCTTGTGCTCTAGAATGCTGTGTGTGTTGAAAGGGCGCCAATTGTGCAACTCCAATAGACCAAGGGGTCTGCCCTGAGGTGATGGGGAGCATGATATTAGAGACCACATGGTGTTGTGGAACTTTATTACAGAGAGTTTTAAATCGCAGAGACAAACTGTCGGTCTTGGGAAACCTGAATTGGGATTTCCCGAAGCCTGTTGTTAGAGTTGTTGTAAATAAAGTCCAGTTGACCCTGAATACCTGTGGGCTCTGTATTTGTGACTTTGTGTACTTGTTGTAATTTTCTGAGAATCCTAAAGCCAATACTTGTGACTCTTCTGCAGTCATTTGCAGATACGGGCAAAGAGGGGAAACCTAAGAGCTACCAGGTTGAGTCCCCAGCTGAGGCTGAGCGAGGCATTGCCTTCTTGTTTCAGTCTTTATACTGCAACCTCTTCGCAGTCTATAAAGTGCCTTATTTATTTATTTATTTTTTGCATTCTTGTTGGTGATTTTTTTTCTTTTGGATGGGAATGGGATATGAACTCAACGCTTCATGCAAGCAAAGCATGCACTCTACTGCTTGAACCACACCTCCAGTCCATTTTGCTCTGGTTATTTTGGAGATGAGGGCTCGTGAACTATTGCCGAGGCTGGCCTCAAACTGCAATCCTCCTGATCTCAGACTCCCAAGTAGGTAGGATTATAAGTGTGATTCACGGCACCTGGCTTGATGATTTTTTTAATTGTGGTGATAAAGTTACCCTCCAAATGCAATGCTAAAGTTCTGTCCTAAGCACAAGAAGGGTGCCATGTGCCCTCAGGAGGAAAAATGTGTGTTAGATGAACTTTGTTTAGGTGTAAGCCATTAGGGCTGTCGGCCACCTGTTCATTGTTAATAAACAGTTCATGATCAATATCAAGGTGCATCCAGAAAAAGGAAAGGAAATTTGGTGACCTGTGTGTGCCTCACACTTTGGAAAGTGCTATAGTAACATCTACCATGTTTGATGAAATTATGGAAAAGAAGGTACGTGGCTCAATTTGCAGGTTCATGAGATAATGAGTAATTAAAACAATCACAGTGGACAGACTGAAAGCCCATGAAATTTATGCTCCTGTGATCCAGTGTCAGGAAAATGTTATATTTTTCTTAACTAGTTTTTTATTATAAAGAAATATTGGATATAATTATTTGCGATTAGCATCTATTCGAGGAGGTATCTTTAAAACAGAAACATACATAAAACAAGGTTCTCTATCAATTGATTGACAAAAATATGACTGAAGGCTTGCAGGAACCTAACCTGGTATCTCCTAGGAGCAGTTGTTCTGTATTCACAAAGTCAGTGTTTGTAGCAACATAACAGGACTACATAACAGGAAAGACACTTGACTATACAGTCATTCCTCCTTGTGCAAGGGCTCCAAGACTCTTTGTAGATATCAAAATCCATGAGGCTCCAGTCCCTTATAAAAGTATTATGTATAGCATTTGTGCCTATAACTTATGTATATCTT